GGTGGAGGGTGGGGGAGGTTTAAGAAACAATGACTTGGTGGAATACAAGGCAAGGATAGTCTGATATTTATATGCAAAATAGTGTGGCAAAATATGCAAAATATCTAGTGGCGTAGGATATTTCTTAAATCCTACTCCCTCCGTTCCAATTTATGTAAACTGTTTGACTGGGCATGAAATTTAAGAAAAAATGAAACTCTTGAAATTTGTGGTCCTAAACAAGTCAAAAAGGGGCCCAGAGTATTTGTGTGGTTGTAAAAGTTTCTCATTAAGGGTAGAATTATATGTTTAAGCTACATTGTTACCAAATTTAAAAAGGGATCTTTTTTTTATGGAACGGACCAAAAAGGAAATAGATTCAATAATAGTAGTACAAGTTTGTTTTTTTCCTTTTTTGTTTTTATATTGAGAAAATGCAAAAGATATGGGGAAAAATAGTGTATTCCCTTTATTTAGATATAACTAGTCTTTATACTCGGTGTGATGCACAAAATATCTTGTGTCATATGCAAGATCTAGTTTATGTATATTCAATACTTATGGTCAAGCTATGTAATTATCTAATATTTAATGATTTGAGTATATGAAAGTCATATTTCATTAAGATACATTAATAATAGAGAAAACAAAGAATAAAAAGTCATTTAGTTATTTCTGCCTTCCATGGATTGCTACAAAATTTTGAAGCTAAAAATTAAAAATCTTAACCACGAAATATTAAAGAAACACATGTTATCGCTAGAAATTCTTCAATTTCATTCTTGCAAAAAAAAAAAAAAAAATTATCCTGAAAATTTATACAACAAAAAGCTATTAGCAAACCTAATGTAACATTTTATACATAAATACATGCTGTTGAAAAACACAAGTATGATTTAATACATTCGTCAAATTATGAAATTAAAGTCAATAGAAGAACTTTAATAGATCCCTGAATATATTAATAGAAGAATGATATTGTATCGCACATACTTGGGTGAAATCATTATTTAATTTTTTTTGACTATAAAGTCTAATAGAAGAACTTTAATAGATCCCTAAATATACTAATAGAAGAATGATATTGTGTGGCACATACTTGAGTGAAATCATTATTTAATTTTGTGGCTATAGTTTATATGTAACAAAGTCGATTGCATAGACTCCTATTCAAATTGAGACTCATTCAGCAAAAGGTTCCCTTTGTCTATTCATTATTATTCATTAAAGGGTAAAGGGTCAAAATTGCCCATCTATTATTGTTTATTGGTTGTTTGTGCCACCCGTGACACTTTTCGGCCATTCTCGTCCCTACCGTTAACAAAGTTTGCAAAATTACCCTAACCCTAACGTCCCTCCATTGTGGCAGCTGGCCCCTCTAATATTTTGTCCATGTCAGCAGCCAAGTCAGCAGGTCCACCAAATAAAATACCATGTCAGCGTCCATATCACCACTTTTAATAATATCTTAGTTATTGTTTTTTTTTTTACAATAATGAGACACAGTAGTATCGCTGTCCACCACCCCTGCGCCTTCATACCTCTCACTGTCTTCACTACAAGCCGATTCAATTACTGAAACCACATACCAGCAGGTGGAAAAAGCCCTCGCCACCAAGAAATGAAAGGCCGAAAAAAAAACTCCCATGGACGTCGCTGCCACATGAGACAAGAAGAAGAAGAGGGCAAAGAAGTCAATTGGACTTACAAGATCTACATTTTCAAGGTGCTTAAACAGGTTGATCCTGATATGGGTATAACAATATCTTCGAGAAGCTTGCTCAGGAATATGTTCTAAAAAATTTCTGCTTGCTCAGGAGATTTTTTTTGTCATTTTTCTATTACATCTCTTTCTTACTCATCAAATCACCATGTCACCTCCTTCATTCCAATTTAAACCAGAACCAGAAAATCCAACAATCTAGCCAAAATGAAATAACATGATTATATTTGAATTTTCAGATTTTGAATTAAATTCATGTGTTCATTACCGTTGGGCCAGATTCAAGTAAGAGATTTGGAAGCCCATTATCGAAAATTTAAAGCCTCATCCTGGGTTGGGATTTTATGCATATGAGGTTGAATTAAACTTTGAGGAGTGATTTGGTAACTGTTATAGGACTGAAATTTTGTAAAACCCAGTTGAAAATTAATTTTAAACGTGGTTCATCGGCTTCACCATTGTTGATCTTTAAGAGTTTCAGATTTGACAATTTCTTTTGGAAGTTGTTCTAATATTGAATGGTCGTAGGTTTGAAAATTATTTGTGTCAATCATGTGAGAATTATTTCTTGAAAGATTCTGAGGGAGAATGAAGGGTCTTTGTCTGTGTGAGTTGATTTAAATTTCTTGCCGGGGAACGGGGTTGCTGTTTGAATGACGAAACATGAAGAAGGAGAAAGGAGACGAAGAGGGGAGCCAGTACCGTGGAGGTTAGTTCCGCCCGTTGAAAATTTTTCGGCGAAATGCCATAGTTTTCGGCGATTTTGGTATGAGGTGAGGGAGAGAAGATGAGAGAAAGGGTGGAGAGGTGAGGAGTGGGGGGTCGTTTATGTTAGGGTTTTAATTTGGTGGGGTCGATGACATGGCAGCTGACATGGAAGCTGGCGTGGATAAAATTGATGGGGTCAGCTGCCACAGTGGAGGGACGTTAGGGTTAGGGGTAATTTTGTAAACTTTGTTAACGGTAGGGACGAGAATGGCCGAAAAGTGTAACGGGTGGCACAGTCAACCAATAAACAATAGTAGAGGGGCAATTTTGACCCTTTTCCCTTCATTAAAAGTGAACTACAATATAAGCTAACCTTATGAATATTTCACAAGTAACGTTGCAGACAATGAGTCTTGCTCTTCTCGTCTCTTGTTTGGAATGCCATCATAATTCAAGTTCTTGATGCAACTTACTTTAATTTATTACATCACTTGGCTTGTTAAATTCTTGCGTATTTAGGAACCAAGTCGAAATTGTGCTTACTTCTCAAGAATTTCAGCATAAATCCTTTGTAACGATCCAGCCAGTCGTTTCGAGAGTTGTAGCCCCTTCCCCCATTTACTGCTCATTTTGTGCTTTATAGGTTTTATGTGACTTGCCGGAATAGTCGGTTCGGGTCCGGAGGAATTTCGGAATGAATTGAGACACTTAGTCTCAAGGTTGAAAGCTTAAGTTGAAATGGTTGATTGGATATTGACTTAAGTGTAAGCGTCTCCGAAATGGAGTTTTGATGGTTCTGTTAGCTCCGTCGGGTAATTTTGGACTTAGGAGCGTGTCCGGATTATGACGTGGAGGTCCGTAGTTGAATTAGGCTTGAAATGGCGAAAATTGGATTTTTAGAAAGTTTGACCGGGAGTGGACTTTTTGATATCGGGGTCGGATTCCGATTCCGGAAGTTTGAGTAGGTCCGTGGTGTCATTTGTGACTTGTGTAAAAAAATTTGGGGGCAACCAGACGTGATTTGATAGGTTTCAGCATCGTTTGTAGAAGTTGAAATTTCCTTAGTTTCAATAGGATTGAATTGGGGTGCGATTCGTATTTTTGATGTTTTATGATGTGATTTAGGGCTTGACTAAGTTCATATCGTGCTTTAAGACTAGTTGGTATGTTTGGTTGAGGTCCAGGAGGCCTCGGGTTAATTTCGGATGGTTAACGGATCGAAAATAAGACTTAGTGCATTGCTGAAACTGGGAGTCTGCCGGTGTAATCGCACCTGCGGAGCTTTGATAGCAGGTGCGGGCTGTGTTGCGCAGATGCGACTTTGGAGGGGAGTGTGCAATGGCCGTAGGTGCGAGGAAATTACCGCACTTGCGTGGCTGCAGATGCGGCGATAGGAGCGTAGAAGCGGAAATGGAGATGGGAGCTGGGTCCGCAGAATCGGCTTGGTGGCTCACAGAAGCGAGTCCGCATGAGCGGATTCATGAGCCGCATGAGTGGAGGAAACCGCGGAAGCGGGAGAATAGTCGCTTCTGCAACATCGCAGAAGCGGGTAAGAGGCCGCAAGTGTGAGAAGGCCTGGGCAGTGTATTAAAAATGAGGGTTTCCGTGTTTTTCATTATTTTTAACATATCAAGCTCGAGATTGGGCGATTTTTGAGAGGGATTTCGAAGGGATTCTTGAGGCAAGTCACTTGTTCTCATTTTTGTTCAATAATCTTGTTTCCCCATTGAACTTCCCACCTAGTTTTGTGTGTATTTAAGGTGGAATTTGGAGGTTTGAGGCTAGGGATTTGGAAAGTTTGATTTGGGGATTTGAGTGACGATTTGGTGTTGGATTTTGGTAAATGTGGTGTGGTTGTACTCGTGGTTGAATGGGCTTTCGGGTTTTGTGACTTTTATCGGATTTCGAGACATGGGCACGAGGGCTGACTTTCGAGTTGACTTTTTGACTTTTGATTAAGAGTTTAGTATTTTCTTATGGAATTGATTCCTTTAGCCCGTGTTGATTGTATCGAACTGTTTGTGGCTAGATTCAAGGCATTTGGAGGCCGATTCGCGAGGCAAGAGCGTGTTGGAGTAGAGATTTACACGGATTGAGGTAAGTAACGGTTCTAATTTTGTTCTGAAGGTATGAAACCCCGTACTACGTGTTTTGTGATTGGTGTTGAGGTGACGCACATGCTATGTGACGGGCGTGTGGGCGTGCACCGTAGGAATTATGACTTGGTCCATTCTATGGAACCGTATAGTTGAATAATCTATCCATAAATTCTCCATGTGATATAGAAATTAAGCTGCAAATCCTGTTAGAAATCATGTTTAGGCCATGTGTTGGTACTGTAGGGACCCTCAATGGTCGTGTTACATGTTGAATTATCTGCTAAATTATTGTTTTATACTCAATCTCAATTTTACTTGCATATCATATCTCAGTCTCTATTGTTCTTTGTTGATACATTATATCATTTCTGTTTGGGCTGATTATCATGATTATTGAGAGCCCGAGAGACTGGAGAGGTTGATGACTGAGT